TTGTACAAGTCCTGAAGGCTGGGCAGGTGCACACCAATGATTCTTTCTGCTGTCCTAACAGTCCGTTGCAGTCTTCTTATATCTGATTTGTTGGCTGACCCAAACCAGACAGTTATAGAAGAGCACAGAACCGACTCAATAATAGCGGAGTAAAACTGTGTCATCTGTGCCTGTGGCAGGTTGAACTTTTTCAGCTGACGAAGGAAGTACAACCTCTGCTGGGCCTTTTTCACAATGGAGTCAATGTGAGTGTCCCACTTCAGGTCCTGAGAGATGGTTGTGCCCAGGAACCTGAATGACTCCACTGCAGTCACAGTGCTGTCCATGATGGTGAGTGGGGGGAGAGCAGGGGGGATTCTCCTGAAGTCTACTATCATCTCTACAGTTTTGAGCGTGTTCAGCTCCAGGTTAATACATTTTGGACTTAAGGTTAATACATTTTGGACTTAATATTAATTAACATTAATAAATGCTTTATAAATATTGTTCATGTTAACTAATAGTTAAAATATATAGTTTTGTAACATTAGTTAATTCACAACTAACAAACTAAGTATGAACAATATGTTTTACTGTATTTATTTGTGTTAGTAAAAAAATGTTCATCTTAGTTATTATAGATCAATCAAATCGTTAAAAATGCTTATGAATCATTAAAGGTTTTGGTAACACTTTACAATATCTCATTTGTTAACATTAACAACAATAAATGCATTAAATAACATGAAATAACAATGAAAAATATATTTGTACAACACAGACTTTTTTCTAAGTATAAGTCAAGTATACTTAAATGTCATTTTAAGTATATTTCTGAGAAGTACATAAAGCCCATTTCTGAGAAGTACATAAAAGTAGACTAAAAGTATACTTTCCTATTTTTAGTTTAAAAGAAGTATACTAATAGCACACTTGAATAAACTTCTTTTTCGTAAGGGTCATGCACACTGACTGATTGTTGCACTGTTCAGAACTATGAAGTTGAGCGATAAGACATGCTTGTTAAACACACTGTATGTTTTACTCATGGAAAATGCACACAATCGAGTTTTGAAAAGCTACTTATCAAATAAAATAATGCTTCAGTAAATTGTCTTGACAAATTACAGTTTTTATGTTTTGTCAATGCACTGTCCAATATGGATAACTTCGCTTCCATCTTCAATTTCTCAGAAAAGGGATATGGAACTTGCAAACATTAGCAAAATAAAATGTCAATAACACTAATGAAAAAGGTAATTCAAGGTTTATCTAAATGAATATGTGAATGATGAGTATATGTTTCATTACTTCCCTTTATTGTGCAACACTGCACTTCTCCTGTGAAACTGGGAAATTAAATCAGTGCTCTTCATGCAGGCGGGAGAAAACACTTTAATGTAACACTCATCTTTGAAGCTATCCCTCTGTATTTCCAACAGCTTTCTTGGAAGATAAAATGGTAAGATAAATTATGAATCTTATTGATACAAATCTGTACATGGCTTCTGTTTTCAAAAATTAATACATCATTTGATTAAAGGAAAATGTACATGCTTGCTTATATCTGTTGCTGTAGCAGAACTGAATTGTCCAATGATTTTCCTTGACATGGCACTTGTTTTTAAATATTTTAATTTTTTTAATACAGGCAGATAAACAGGCATTTATCTTCATGCCTGCACATACAGTGCTGCAGTTTACTATTATATTCTTGCTGGTGGCTTCCTCTGAGTCAGATACATGTGATGGCAACAGGGGTTTCTCTGGAAGACCAGGTATTCCAGGAGTTCCTGGTACCGATGGGAAGGATGGTGCAAAAGGAGAAAAGGGAGATCCAGGTATAGTGATTACACTACGTTTCTATGTGAAAAACTGCAAATTGAAAGTCAAAAATGTACCTTCTGTTTCTCCTGACTGTCCTAAATAAAGGCAAAGAATCTGATAAATAAAATTTCAATTAAAAATTCTGCATTTAAAAATTGTGCATTTAAAAACTCTGTGCTGAAAACCCTTTACCTAATTTAGTGTTCATGGCTAAAAATGACCAGCCTTTTAAAAATTATGCTATATTATTTTTTATTAAATGAAGGATTCACTCTTTTTTGTCAACTTGATTTTTTTTTCCAATTAGCACAGGTTTTAGATTTCTTTTTGGAACTGATTAGTCATAGGCCTCACTGATCTGAGCTTATGCACCTCAGTTATTGAGAGAAAAAAGCTTTATTTGTTGATAATTTTGGCAATATATACTCAAAAGCTGATGTTTTCTTAAGCTTAGATTAATGAGGCCAATTCGTTCTAAAAAGAAATACAAAATTTGTTGATAAAAAGGTTGAATCCAATATTTGGAAATTCATAAGCAATTTTTTGTAGGCCAGTCATTTGACTAGGAACACCAGAAGTTTAACAAGGTTTAAGAAGTAAAAAAACAAAAACAAAATTCTTTCTTTCTTTCTTTCTTTCTTTTAAATTAAAATTATTTTCATTTTCATAATTTACTCGCCGAAGTTTTTCCAAACCTGTATGAATAAGACATTTTGAAGAATGTTGATAACCAAACAGTTTCTAGTGCCCATTGATTTCAGTTGGATTTTTTTTTTGTCCATATTTTGGAACTACAGAGATGCTCTTAATTCATTAATTTGAGGGTGAGTAAATGATGACTGATTTTTTTTCTCTTTTTTTAGTGGATTATCCCTTAAGTTTTAGTCTAATGTGAGAACATTAACTAGCATTTTCTAGAAAAAGAAAATCCTCCCTGAGTCAAAATGACCGGAACACAACATAAAGGTTAAACTCACTTTACCCAGCTGTGTGCATGATTGCAGGTGAGTAAGTGCCAATAACTGGGCCAAAAGGGGATCCTGGAATTGCTGGACTCCCAGGCAGGCCTGGTGAGAAGGGGGACAACGGACTACAAGGTCCACCAGGGCCAATAGGACCAAAGGGAAAGAGGAAGATGGTCCTCACTGCAGAACACAAGATCCAGGGGGTGAGGTTGGATCCAGATCCAACTCCTCCCACCTTACATATACCTAAACCTACCCGTCTCCACCCCCTGATCCCTAAACCCACCCATCTCCCCCTCTAAACCTACCATCTCCTCCCCCTAGATGTGGATCCAACCCCGCCCCCTGGATCTTTGTTCTGCAGTGAGGGGCTACTGGAGAGAGGGGAGATTTTACGGGGGTAGATACTCCAAATCAGTATTTTGTTTTCTCTTACAAAAAAAGTCCTAGGTCACAGAGAGTTCTTCCAGACAAATTAATCGGCTTTGAAATCCCACTGACCTCCGGGGCAGGTGATGTCTTTGATAGTGACGGACGGTTACTTTAAGGTGGAAAAAGCTGGCATGTATTACATAAGCTACCACATTTCATCCAGTCAGTCTGCCTGCCTAAAGATTCAGGTAGGGGAGGAAGAGAAGGTCAGGTTCTGCAATTCACCTGGGATGATAATGGTAACTGCAGGATCTGTGGTACTGCCATTGAAAACTGGGGATAAAGTGTCTGTACAGGCAACTGCAATAAGCTCTATCTTCAGTAGAGACACTGACTGCACCTTTACAGGCTTCTTGCTCTTCCCAATGAATGGATAAGATGATTTTGATCAGCCACACTCTTACTCTTCCTTAGATTGTAATTGGTAAAAAATGTATCCAAAGTTATTGTTGATTAAAACTATATGGAATCATATATTGTTGTTTCTTGACTTATTTCACCACAAGTATAATAAAGTGCATTGTTAAATGATTTGTTTCCTTTTTAGAATTTTAGAATTCAGCAAGGAGGCATTACATTTTATCAAAACAGACAATGAAGTCATTTTTAATGTTACAAAAGATTTCTATTTCAAATAAATGCTGAAGTAATGAATGCTGAAAATTTTAGCTTTGCCACCAGGAATAAATTACATTTTAAAATGTATTACAATAGAAAACATTTCATTTAAATTGTAATCATATTTCACAATATTACATGTGGACTATTTTGATCAACTAAATACAGCCTTGGTGAGCATTTGATAGTATTTTCTTTCCAAAAAAAACAAAAAAACACAGATAGGTCAAAACCCAAACTTTTGACTGTATACTGTATAACAATTTTTATACATGTAGAAATGTAGCTAGTTTTTACCCAGTTAGCAATTTAGGTTCCCAGAATGTTCTAAAAAATGTTAGTTTATGGTTATTTAAAAATAAAACCTGAAAGGAACAGCCTAAACATTCATAAGAATGTTCCCATGGAAATAACCAAACCGTATAACAACATTAGGGCAACAATAACAGTATGCGTTTTCTTGGGTGTTATCCATTAATAAATTGAAGCACAAACTTAAATCAACAGGCTTTCTTCAGGTTTGATTAAACAAAAATCTCATGCTGAGCACAATTGCAGCGTCACGTCAGTCTACGGTATTTATTACAGAACACTCATTGTTCTTGAGCTGAGACCATCACCCTTCAGGCTTTCTATAAAGAATAGAGCAGCCATGGCAACAGCCGCTAACTGAGTGTAACAGCCATTTACAAACATGCCACTGTGCTGCAAGAATGTAAAATAATCAGCAGCTACTAAAGTGCTCAGGAATCAGATTCATGGGGAAAAAACTGCCATGCATGAGGTGAGTTCACTTCAATTGCAGGACAAAGAGGACAAGGTAAAATCATTTTAAATTCTATAAAGGTTTAGTAATCAGCCAATAACTACTCTGAATATATAGTGCAAATGTATACATAGGAAGTATCTTATTAGAAAATATGGTCCCACTTTATGTTAAGTGGCCTTAACATTGTACTTAGTTTTTTTATTTAAGTACACAGTAGTTAAAGCTGCAGCCCATAACTTTGTTTGGTTAAAAATGATCCAAAATCAATATTTGAGCAAGTACATAACCAGCCAGTGTTCAAAACTATCGCCTTACTTTAGCCCGATTCACAACGATTAGCTTATAATAATGTTTTCTAATTTGAGTGGTACAGGTAGGTTTTTGCGGGAAATTCGAGCATGCTGCTGCGTCATTATGTCACGTCTGTAAAGATAAAGAAGTTGTCCCAGCTACTAGGTTATCGCATGTGAGGATGCTGCAGGTGGCAGATCGTTAGCCTTTTCGCACAGCAGCCAGAATAATTAAATGTCAAAAAATTATTTTGATGGCGGTTCTTATTTGGGTCATATATTCCAAGACGTAGGCTAGAATCTGTGATTACTAAGTATAGGATTCACACCGGTGCGGCCGGTGACTGACTGCCACACATCCTCCTCAAAACATTAGATTCATCTGCACTGGAGCCGTGCCAGAGTACAACCCATGCAAGGAAGATAATTCCGCAAGTAACTTCAATTCCAAGTTTTCAAACAGAGATGGCGTCAAAGAGGCAAAATTTAAGGACTGCAGCTTTAAGGCCACTTAATATAACCAAAAATATTTAAGTGTGATTAAAATGACTGATTAAAAACATGAAACCAGCATAACCTTGAAATCACCTTCATTCATTTATTTTATTTTATTTTTATACACGTTTAAATATTCAGTCTCAACAGTAACGCAAAGATGGCCACTCATGAGAAGACAATCAGCAAGCAACAGAGACCATCTCTAAGAATCCCATTTGGTCATCCATGTAGAACAGATATATTGCTCCTCAAAAATGGTCAAATGGCATCGAAACACCCACGAGCCTTTCCAATGCTTGGAGAACTTCCTTCCTTGGCAGGTAAGCAGTGAAACAAGGAGATTTTGATTTGTCCTTTAACTTTCATTCAGAATTCCCACAGATATATGACTATCGTTAAGTCTGTAACAGTCAGGAAATGGCACATGTCATTCAGAAATTAGACTAAAGTATATTTGAATGAGTGCCAAAAAATGACATATGCTAACAAATCTCCTCTTCAGGGTTACTGCTCTACCCTGGTAAGCGGGAAAAGATGGTAACCACAACAGAAACTGAATTTGGACCCAAACCCTGCCCAAAGGTAGAGCCCAAGAAGATCCTACAGTGCAACCTAACTCTAGATGGTATGAATTTCATTGGAATTTGGGAAAATAATTAATTAGTATCAATTAGAAAAGCTACCAACCATCTGTTGTTAACTTACCTAACCTATTTTGCAGATGAGTCAAATATTAGTTATCACTACATAACTGCTGTTTCTACACTAAAAGTTTAATTAAGTTCATTATTAAATAACTGATTTCCTTAGCAGACAAGATTAGAAGGCTGAAAAAAAGAGATATTTACATTATATATTGTATATAATGTTCAAAAGTTTGGGGTCAACGTTTTCAACAACAACAACAAAAAGAAAACAGAAATATGTTTATTCAGCAAGGAGACATTACAATGTATTACACTGTAAGACATTACAGTTTACATAAAATGTGAAAAATCCCTGTCATTTTCACTTTAATAATTACAACCAAGTGATACGAAATGTTTCTTGAGTAGGCCTACACAGAAGACTGGAGTAATTGCTGCTCAAAAATACTCAACTTTGCCGTCACAGGAATAAATTACATTTAAAAATATATTACAGTGCAGCCTATCTCTATATGGAAGGGAATTTATTGAAATTCTGGAAAATAGGTAGTTAGTATTAGTATTGATTCGGAAAGTTATTTATACCTATGGTAAACTTAAACCTGTATGAGCCAAATATCTCTATGTAATTGCAGGTGACAGGAGTTTCAGCACAACAAATAGAGAGGATTACCCTTATTACAAACCAGATGGCGCTCTGATTGTGTGGCATGGAAGAATCCCCGCAAGAGAAAACAGGACTGGCCAAGCACAGAGATGTTCTCTTTACCAGCAGGACTTCCCTGCTCCAAATAGAATCTATGTCCGGAGAAATCAGGTCGCCCCTCATCCTGACAACCTGGCGATCAACACTTCAATGAGGTAAGTGTACTACCACTGAACCTGCATTCAGTTTTACTTAAAATCTTAACAGAATATGTTTAAAGTGATGAACTTAAATCTGTGTTTTATAGAGCTGAATACAAAACAGTGCAGAAAGAGGCTTTTCCAGGCTGGGACGTGTCTGTGCACGCGCGCCCACCACCTGCCCGTCTCAAAAGAACAGCTGTAGCTGACGGTTGAAGGCCAGAGAAAACCGTCAAAAAAGTGCATTTATACAATGGATGCATAACACAAAAAGCTTCTTTAAATCAAGCATTTGTGTTATTCGGCTTTACTTGTTACCTTTCTCCTGTACAATATGACATTTAATATCTTTAGAAACTCAAAGAAAATATATTTGTTTAATTTTACATTTGAAAAAACATCTCATCCATTTTAATTACAACTTTATTCTCCAAGAATGTATTACACTGATCAGTAGTGATAGTAAAGGCATTTATGTTTTCCAAAACATTCTATTTGAAATAAATACTGTTAGCTTAGACTTTCTAGTCATCAAAGAATCCTTACATGTGCATATGTATGTGTATACACATACACACACACACATATATATATATATATACAGTAGTCAACATTTGAAGTGGATCAAACCCTTTCATCAAAGTTGTCCTAAAACTAAAATGCGTTCTTGTCTATCTTACACAGTTTCCACATAAATATTAAGCAGCACAACTGTTTTCGACATTGGTAACAATAATAAAAAATATTTCTGCCAAAAAATTAGTTTTGCCATAACAGGAATAAATGACATTTGAGAAATTGTAAAAGATCTGTCTCCAGAATTATTAGACTCCTTGGTAAATATGAGCAAGTGAAAATAAAGTCTGATCCATCATTCGAAATATTCACAAAAGTTAAACTTTCACTTAAGTAAAACAATTGGATGTGGGGCGGAAAAAAAATCACATTATAAAATAAACGTTTTCTCCAAAAAAAAGAAAACAAGAATGTGTGCTGCATCATCTAGTCTGTGTAGAATTTGCTCTGTTAACTAAAATTGCTTGTTTTGAAATGGCGCTGATGAAAATCAAGACAAAACAGATTTGTTAAAAAAGTAGCATTTAATAAGGAAAGTATGTTTCTTGTACCCAGTAGGACCGATAACTGCACACAAACATCTTGGTTTTGGAAGGCACACAAAGAAGTTCCACTTTTGCAGTGTGTGCAGGTGCAGTGAGAACTGTGTCATTTCAGTTTTAAATCATGAATCTCTATACACACATCTGGATCTACATGTCTTCCACACTCCACTTGTACGCCATCTCTTGGACAGCTTTCTTATCGGCTATCCTGATGTACCGCTTCTGCTCAAAACCATTGGACCTAAAGGATCAAAGGAAAAGTCATTTAAACCATTTTCTGAGGTTTGCATTAGTTTGCTCATGATATTTCAAACCAGCTGTCACTCATCAAAACCTCTTACCTGTCAACTCCATCCCAGCGATACCCTGGCATAATGTTAAAACGATTTGGAGGTGGAGGTGGACCTTTGTAACGAGGTTTTTCTGGAGAAACAAACATTGTGATATTGCGATTAGTACTGTGGTCTAGGCTTTTGCTAAACATAAACACTAAAAGTAATAATTGTCAATGAGGTCAATGAGGTGTCAAAGCACGCTAAACCCTTTCTTATCTTGGGTGGTGACTTTAATTGTGTTTTGAATCCTGAATTGGATCAAAAGCCATCTAAAAAAGTTCATTCTAAAAAATGAGCGCTTCAGGGGTTTTGTAATGATCTTAGTTTATTTGAGGCCTGGAGAGTAAGACAGCCAACTGAGAAAGATTACACTTTTTTCCGTCATTTTTCATCAGTCATTTTCAAGAGTTGATTATTTTATAACATCTCTACTGGTCCTTGAGAGAATTAATGCATGCCATATAGGGACAATTAATATTGACCATGCTCTTGTAACGCTGAGTATAGCATGTCAATATGAGGTGCTGTGTGTACATTAATGAGGAAAAAAAATTTACTTAAATGATTTTAGCAAATGGCTGCAATATAACAAAGAGTGAAAAATTTAAGGGGGTCTGAATACTTTCCGTACCCACTGTAGATGCCCAATATTTAAATCTTGGCATTTGAATGCTTCTCTTTTATACAGCCAAGAATTTTTGCAATATTTGAAGAGCCAATGGACTTTTTAGTTTTTTTAATGAAATTAATTGTTAATTAATTGAAATCAATTAAATTAAATAATTGAAATTAGTAACTTCCTGGAGAACATTCCACTGCCATATTTATCGGAGGAAGATAGGAACACACTGTGTAAACACATTTCTAAGCAGGAGGTTATAGATGCCATCATGTCACTTAAAAGTGGAAAGTCGCCAGGGCCTGATGGCTTCATTCCAGAATTTTATAAGGAATGCAGGGACATGATAATTGACCAGCTTCATAACATGTTTATACATTCCTTTGAATCAGGATGTCTCCCATCCTCATTGTACCAAGCAAATATTTCATTAATTTAAAAAAAAGACCCTATATGGAATGTTCCTCTTATCGCCCAGTATCTCTAATCAGTGTTGATGCTAAAATTCTATCCAAAATACTTGCCAAAAGATTAGAGGTATATTTGCCACAACTTATTGCGCCAGACCAAACTGGGTTTATTCATTCACAAAATATTAGACGTCTTATGGGCATTGCACAATACTGCTTTACAACTCAATGTAAGGCCATGGTCATTTCTATGGATGCTGAAAAAGCTTTCGACCGCTTGGAGTGGAAATATTTGTTTGAAGTTCTGCGACGTGTGGGTTTAGAGGATAACTTTGTGAGATGGATAGAAATAATATATAGGGCACCACAAGCAGCAGTCCTCACAAATGGTTTACACTCTCCTCCATTTGATCTGAAGCGAGGCACCAGACAGGGTTGCCCTTTATCACCATTGCTATTCGCATTGGCCCTTGAAACTTTGGCAGTATCTATTAGACAGAGTCAACAAATTAAGGGAACTCAAATTGGTAACACTACACATACCATCTCACTGTATGCCGATGACATGCTCTTATTTCTCTCTGAGCCAGAACTGTCGGTGCTAGCCTTGATTGATCTGATAGATAGCTTTAGTTATTTTTCGGACTACAAGATTCATTTTAATAAATCAGAGACAACTCCATTGGACAAAAGGGACTCAGCCCCATCTTTAATGTTCCCCTTCAAGTGGCCACTTAATGGATTTGGCTATTTAGGTGTTAATTTTTCTCCCAATCTGAAAAAGTCATTCAATCTTAATTTTGTCCCAGTCCTGATAAATGATCTAGAACGACGGACGGATCTCCCAATTTCTTGGATAGGCAGAATAAACTTGATAAAAATGAATGTACTTCCTAGATTACTGTACCCTTTACAGATGATTCCATTATATACTGCCAAAAAGATCATTGCAGATTTAGAAAAGCATTTCAGTAGGTCTATTTGGCATCAGAAAAAACCAAGAATTAAATTATCCAAATTGCAATTACCTGTAGACAAAGGTGGCTTAGCACTACCTGATTTAGGTTTTTATAATTGGGCCTGTCACATAAGAATTATTTTGAGGTGGTTACAACAGTCCCCAGAAACAGAAATAGATTCATGGTTTGTTCATCCCTTCTCTTTACATTAGGTGATTACTGCTAAACGGAAGTCCATTGGCTCGGAAATTTGCAACAACCCCCTCTTACAAAGTGCTTTGAAGACCTGGCGAGATATCCAGCGGTTTTGGGGAAGAAGTACATTTTCATTACCGTTGATTCCTCTTATTATGAACAAAGCCTTTCTCCCTGGGCTTCAAAATAGTGTTTTCCATTAATGGGCCAAAGCAGGAATTTGGTCAATATCAGACTTATATAACAGGAATTCTTTGTTATCATTTCAACAGTTACAAGAAAAGTATGGGTTACCTTCTTTTCATGTTTTGGTTTCCTTCAAATCAGACATTTCATTGGCAAAACTCTTACTTTCCCCACAGATCAAGAAATGTGTACTAAACTAGATCTATGAAGCACTCTTCGAACACAAGGAATGTTGTATTTCAACGGTTTACACCTTGTTAGTTTCTAATTCAGGAAAAACTTTGCAAGCATTGTTATCAGGGTGGGAAAGGGACTTTGGCAGGGCACAGGAGGAGGAGAAATGGTCAAATGTCATGGGAAATACGAGGAGGCACAAGAAACACAGCTTAAAATACTACACCGTATACATTGTACTCCTTATGTACTTTCTAAGATGAAGCACTCACCAGTCTGCCACCAGTCTAAATGTAAATCTGGTTTGGGTACACACTCCCATATGTTTTGATTCTGTCCTATGATAAGTCACTTTTGGGATAAGATTAAAGCAAAGCTTGATTGTATATCGAATTGCATTATTGAGAAATTATTGGTTTTTTATTTTGGGAATGTGTAAAGAGGACAGTGGACTGACACGTCTTCAGGTCAAGCTGGCAAGCAAATTATTATTCATAGCTCGTAAATGTATACTTGTTGTGTGGATTAAAGATAAACCTCCAACAGTGGACCAGTGGTACAACGGGATTTTCAGAATTCTTCCTTTAGAACGTCTTTGGGTCCGTTAGCAATGGGAATGAGGCTGAATTTGAAAACTTATGGTCCCCATTCTTTGGTAGTCTCCCTCAGAATATATCACAAGTTTGTAAAAAAGGCTGAGTATGTTTAAATTGGAAATACTAATATGCTTCATAGGCTACTGGAAGGTACATTCTGTATATGTTTATTTTCGTTAACATTGTATGTAATGCTTATGTCTCTCGTATGTTGTTGTGGGGGGTGTTCAAGTTTTTTCTTGTTTTTTTTTGTTGTGTGTGTGTTCTTTTTTTGAAAACAATAAAAAGTTATTGTACAAAAAAAAAAAAGTAATAATTGTAAACAACAGGGATCATATGGCAATTTGGGCATTATTCCACACATTTACCTTTGATTCCTTTTAATTGAGCATTTTTGTCTTTCTTCTTGCGAAGCATGGCGGCCATTGGGTCTCCCTCCCTCTCTTGCTCCCTCAACATCCGATCGAGGTCTTCATCGTCAATGTGTCTTGCTAGCGGCTTCTGAGCCTCCCGCATGGCATCGATCACGTTCTGCTGCTGCATTTCTTCCTGAGCAAGCCTGAATGAGAACAGTACAGCTGTCAAAGCTAGCGACAAATCACAATATAATATCTGCACTTG